CATGAATACAGTAGCAAAAATAGGCGTGAATCAGGGAAGTCCAGCTAATCAGTTGTTGTATTCGAGTGTATTCTACCGTATTCATGGAGTGAAACATAGGATTACGGCTGGACAGATTATTATATTTGATTGTATTCACGGCGTGAAATAAGGGATTACACTATTTTTAAAACGGAAAGTGAATCAATTAACATAATTGACTCCTAATATAACTCAACAAACTCAATTATAACACACAAATTTTGTATTTTTCAGTTATAAAAAAGATTCTTAACCGCAAAATACCCCAAAAATATAGCAATCTTCAGAGATATTATATAATACATCTGAATACATAAATTATATCAATTAAAAAAACATATGAATACATTCATGGCATATAGCGAAACAATGGATACAATGAAATAGATAGAATACACGGATACATTGAAATACAATGAGAAAAAAAAGACATTGAATACAATGAAATACATGGAATACTACGAGATACATTGAATTACAATGAAAAAAAGATAGTGAATATAATGAAGTACATAGAAATACAGCAAGATACATTGAAATGCTCTTAAAAAAGGCAACAGAATTTTCAAATTGATCAACCCCAAACTTCAGACGACCTATATTAGTCGACAATTTTCCGATGACCCATCGGATTCCGACCATGATTCCATAAGCAGCGATGACAGAAAGAAGAAGAAAACGAAAAATCACAGAAATCAGAGATTCCGATTTTGATATTCGTGGACATGAATAATATGCCAACTCCAGTATGTTTCTTCTTCTTCTTCCTTTCCGATTTTGATTGTTTTCGTAAAATTTCGATTTTGATAAACTCCAAGGCTGTGATTTCTCCTTAATTAAATAGCATGCGGTTACGCCAAAATTTAGGCTTTTGTCTTCTTCGTCTTCAATTGCTTTGTTTGTGCATATTTGCAAGCTGACTTATTAAGGTTTTGATGGATTTTTGTTTCATCCTAAAATGTTGTTCCAATAATCAATATCAGTATTGCCTTTATTGGAGTTATTTTGGTTAAGAGGAAGAGGTCCACGAAATTTTGGGAGAATGAGATGTATCAAAGTAGAGAGAGAAAGAAAAAAGTGTAACTGATTAGCGTATTTAGTGGTTTAGGGCTAGGAGGAAACCAAAATTAAATATTTTGCTATAAACCTTAAAAGGTATCTATAGAATATAATTTTTTTAAATGGTATTTATTTAAAATAAATAAGGTGTTAACCTTTGCTATAGGAGGTAAAAATTCCTTTTGAAAAAATAATTCCTCCTATTTAAATTCATTGTGATAGCACCGCTGCAATTGGTAGAGCACAAAACCGTGAATAGAACAGTAAATCCAGATCTATAAGGAGAAAAACATAATATTGTAAGATATTTGACAAGTGGTACTATTAATGTTGATTGTGTGATAATCTTATAGATCCACTAACCAAGGCCTTGGTAACAGAAAGGGTTTGGAGTACATCGAAGGGGATGAGATTGAAGCCCATAAACTCATAAGTCATATATGAGGAAATCCAACCTGGGGATTAGAGATCCTATAATCAGGCTCAATGGGATAAACGAATCATATGATGACTTGGTTTGAAATGCATTATTATTATTATTATTATTCCATATGTGAGTGCATTTATCCTATGATGATTTGTGAGGTTGAGTTTTATTAACTCTTAATAAAAATTTATAGCTCGTATGAATAGAGTGTTAGAGTTACAAGAGCACCCTTGACAGATTTCACCTATGTGAGTGTGGAAGTAGGCCGCTTCTTATGAGAATTGGGTTTATTCTCAAACACACTTGTGAAAATCGGAATAGCATAACGGCGTAATGTGCTGGATAATAAAGCTCATGTCAGCGCCTTGATTATTATGTGTAAGCAGTGATACTTTATTTTCCTAACGCAGGCATAATTCAAGTCTGAGACCACTACTGAGTCTGGAGTAGAAATTACTATTTTACTAAGTGGAGGTTCAATGCAGAGCACACCTTCATTATGCATAATAGTCTCCCTTCAACTGGTAAATTCTCTTATTTTAATATTAAAATGAATGGAGGAATGTTGGTGTTAGTGCATTTTAATATTAAAATTATAATATTAAAGTGCATTATTCCTTGTGAGATAGTGGTTATAAATTGGCAAAAAAATGGTAATTACTTTGGCGTAACTCATGAAACCACTAATGTCATAATCTACCACTTATTACCCACTAAAGCTTATATTTTGTAACCACCAATCCATGTTCTGCTATTTTATTATCCCACTATCTTATTATTTATTTCATGAAAGAGATTCTACACTTATAAATATTGGTGTTTCTTCCTTGTGTTATAGATGGGAAAATATAATCGTATGTATAAAAAAGTGAACTTGGTATAGTAAAAAAGAGAGTTAAGAGAATGAGAAAATCTAAGTCTCCAACTTATTATAATATTATTTTGTTGAAGGAAGGTGTTCATTTTGGTGGAGCATTGGACTCAACAACTTGTTCAAAGTTTGTTCGAATTATATGACGTTGTCGGACTATTATATCCTGGAGGGGATAAGTCAAGAGTATTATTACTGGACCGGTGAAGATGCTACTGTAGTGGGATTGAATCTCCTTAAAGAGAGTGAAATATCCGCGCCATACCCTAGAGAATATTTATTTTTTTTTCATCTTATTTTTCAACTACAATTACTTGTAATTTCACCAACACAATGAACCAAAAAAAAATCTTAAAATTTATATCCAACTAAAAAGGTTAAAACCACATCGTCCACCTTGACATGGTGTAACGATCCAATCGGTCGTTTTGCTTTCTAAAACTCTGTTCCCCTAAATGAGACATCTCATACTTGCTTTTACTGATTTATGACTTGCGAGGATGGTTAGTTCGGGATCTGGAAGAGTTCGGGTTGAAAACGGAACACTTGGTTCCTTAAGGTTGGCTTAAAAGGTTAAGTTTGACTTCGGTCAATATTTTGAGTAAATAACCTTGAAATCTAGATTTGATGGTTCCAATAGGTTCGTATGATGATTTCGGAATTCGGCATATGTTCGGATCAGGTTTTGGATGACCCAGGAGCGTTTTGGCGCTTAATAGTGAAAGATGGTTCTTTGAAGGTTTTAGAAGTTCTTTAAATTTGGTTTGAAGCGGCTTTTGGTGATATCGAGGTCCAAATAGAATTCCGAGGTCGAGAATAGTTCCATAATATCATTTAAGACTTACATGTAAAATTTAGTATCATTCTAAATAGTTTAAGTACGTTTCAGCACATTGGAAGTAAATTGAATAACTTGAAGTTCTTAAGTTTGATTCGATTGGTTTTGGGGTGTGATTCTTAATTTTAATATTGTTTCGGGCATTTCGAGAGTTCCAGCGAGTCCATTTTATGATTCCAAACTTATTGGTATATTCGGGCGGGGCCCCTGAGTGCCAATCGGACGAGGCTCGGACCAAGTTGAGAATTTGGAACAATAGCTGAAGCACCAGGTTTGTCATAATAGCACCTACGCTTGGCCAACAGTAGGTGCGAGCCAAGCCTCGCAGAAGCGGCCAAGGAAGGGCAGGCCAGATTCCGCAGGTGCGGCCCATCCTCCGCAGAAGTGGGTACCCGTCCATAGATGTGACACCAGTCGGCCCAGGGTATTTCCGCAGAAGCGAGGGCGCAGGTGCGGCCCTATGACCACAGGTGCGAAAATCACTGGAGGTAGTGAGCCTCATTTAATACTGGCTTAGGTCATTTTTATCACATTTTCTTCCACTCTTGGGCGATTTGAGAGCTTTTAAGGAGGGGATTTTGACCTAGCCTTATGAGGTAAGTAACTTCTACTTAATGTGAGTTTAATACATAGATTATGGATAGATTTAAACATGAAAATTGGTAGAAATCATGACTTTAGATGAAAAACCTAGGGTTTAATAAAAACAAGATTTTACCACGAAAATGATTTGAAACTTAGTGAAATCATGTATTTATGTTCCTAAGGTTATGGGTAACAACTTTCTTGAAATATTTCTGGAATCCGGGTACGTGGGCCCGGGGGTGAATTTTAGAAACTTTACATTTAGGGTTGGGTAATCACTTAAATAGTTAGAATATAAGCTTTTGAACATATTTTGATTAGTTTTTACACTATTTGAATACTTTTGGATTGTTCGACTACGATTTGAGAGTTTGAGCGCATTCTTGAATTTGTCTTTGAGACAAGGTAAGTATTCTTTCTAAACTTGTAAGAGGAAATTAACCCTATAGGCGAATTAAATAAATGTGTGTACCTATTTGTAGGGGCTATGTACGTACGAGGTGACGAGAGTCCGTACATAGCTAATATTATGCTATTGCCTAGGTAGTTAGGACCCTTATCATACTTTATTTGAAATGTTTGTGCCCTTACTTGCTAATTTAATTACTTAAGTTATGTCGGAATTTGATAAAAGAAGTGTAAAAGGCTAAATTCACTTACTTGAAGATTTAATGAATTACTTGACTGTAAATATGAAATTGTGTTTTCTTTAGAAAAATGATTGCTATTTGTGGATCAGGCCGAACGCCTCGGTAGTAAATAGATGCATCTATGGTTCGCGTCGTTCGATCCTCCGGCAGTGCACAATTTAAATATTATGTTGGATCGGGTTGCACGATCTCGACATAACTTGCGCATGATAATTCTTTGGGACTCTCCATGATTGATATTGCTTAAAGGTCTTGAAATATAAGCTGTTAAATGACAAAACTAAATTTGGAATTAATATTTGTGAAAGAAGAACTTGTTATTTCCTGTTATTGAGCTTTCAGTAGTATTCATGAAATCCATGCTTAGTATAACATTTTAAATATATTATTGTTTGTGTCAAAGTCGACCCCTCATCACTACTTCTTCGAGGTTAGACTAGATACTCCTTGGGTACATGTTATTTATGTATTACATTTTAATTACATGTTATTTTTAAGTTAACAAACCTCTTAGGATGCCAAAATTTCATGGAGGTTTTATAGATAAGCTTTTTCATGGAAGAAGCCAAATTCCACTAGGACATTTTTTTTTAGTCTTACTACTTTTATTTGAATTGCCTTTTAAACAGTAGAGCAAACAGTACAATATGAATACAGACACCATGATTTCAGCAAGGTAGAAAAACCCAAATGCTTAATTCATAGCCTTTCGGCTTTAATTATTTCTGAATTACCCACAAACAATTTTCACACACTTTTCAGAATTGAAGCACTATATCCAGTTTGTTCGTCCCAAAATTTTGACCACAACATAACACCACCATACTTGCGCGACTTCTTAATCACCGGAAGAATCTCGCCGGTCAACACATCCGTCGGAATGAACCCACTTCCGGCAGCTTGTGGTGCCGCCGGAAGCCCTAAAAATATCCTTCTAGCCTTCACCGACGACGTCCACCGTATCCAAGAATTTTTTAGATTATCAGTATTATTAGGAGTATACTGACAAGGAGGATTATTGTAAAATTGAATCCAAACAAAGTCAAAAAGCGTTGTATTTAAAGCAGTACCAAGCAATCTATCTGGAAATGGGCATTGTGGAGCTGCAGTTAAGTACACTTTTCTTCCAATTCTACCATAAGTTTTCAAGTATTTAGCTAAATCTTCATAAAAAAGAGATGATCCAAGCTCAATATCAAAGTCAATTCCGTCAAGAATAGCATTTCCTAAAGGCCTAAAAGAGGAACGTCCTCCCAAAAATGTTTTCCATAAATAACGTGCAACATTTTTGGCGTCTTTTTTGGAAGCTAAAGAGTAATTTCCAACGCCACCACCAATAGACAACATTACTTTGACACCTAATTTTTGGCAGAGCTTGATTTGTGGGCCAACGATTGTGCATCCGTTGACGGCGGGATTGCAGTGGCCGGCAAGATTGATTTCTGGGGTTTGGCCATTTCCGAATTTGTTAAGGAAGGCTAAGTTGACATAGGAATATCTGCCTGAGGCACAGGTTTCTTTTAAGGTTGCTTCGTTTCCGTTTTGGCCCCAGTAAATGGATATGCCACCAGCAATTGAGGTTTGGACAAGAGCTAGGAATAAGACAGAAGAAAGAAATTGATGTTTGGTGGCCATTTTGGAATAGAGTATATGGTAATTCAATATTGGTGATATGATGGAGACTATTAATAGAAGGAAATGGGAGATTTTGGGAAATTGAGACAGCGGTATTTCTTGTTTAAAATAGTACCACTCTCTCGCATTATGTGGATTCTTAGAATATTTTGACCAAAGGCAGCTGAATTATGGGAGTCTTGGAAGGAAGAGGTCAAACATCTACTGCCTTTTTGGACATCAAAATATCTCCACTATCTCGCATTTTGTTTATTTTTGTCTCTATTTATTTTCTCTTTCCAAAATCTTTTGACAAAGAAGGGGGTCCGTAAATAGTAAGGATCTGTTAATAGAACAGTATTATTACTGAGTGAGGAATCGAGGAAAGATTGACTGAGAGGGTGACCTTTAGTGAAAGCAGAACCTGTACCCAAGTGATGTAAGATGCAGTCACAACTATTATATTTAAACTACAAATTTCTTTTCTTAGTGTAAAATCTCCAAATCTCTTTTATTAATGAGAATTGGTAAGTCCTATACTAAGTACGTATGCTTTAACATTTTGTATATACATATATATATATATATATATATATATATATATATATATATATATATATATCCCCTTTTTGTCTC